TGCAAACAAAAGCTTTGTGAATAAACTATCACAGTTGTTATTGCCCACCAACCGTGATGACAAACATAACACTGTAGCATCTTTTACTTCATGCATCATTTAGCCAACTAATGCGCTCTTCTGTATAAGTGATATGCTAAAACACTTTTGAGGTTCTGACATGTGGACTACATATACTACTTTGTCTTCACGATTTAGTAAAAAAAAGGTAGGTTATAGGTTAATAAATAGACCCTTCTGTAGAATGATCTCTTCCTCATCTCTTGAGGATTTTATCTCTTCTTTTCTTCATGGTTTCTGTAAGAAGGAAGAAAACGGTCCTCCGCCAGGAGCTATTTTTGCTTGTATATTGAGTGTTATTGTTGAGGAGAAATGTTAGACTCTTTAGAGACTGGTTTGTTACTCCAAACGCTTCTTAGGGACATGATTACTTTTTTGACCTCTTTATAGGAATGGTTTGTTTGGCCCAGTTGATGCTTGTGCTGTAAGTTGGTCAAAGTATTGTGAAAATAACTTTTAACAAAAATCATCCGAAGGTGAAATCAATATAATATTTATTAAGATTTTTTCCTTTAAAAAAATTTGAAGCTTTTTGTAGAAGGTATTTTCAATTTAAAATATGATATATTGTTTGATTGATTAAATTATAAAATTAGTAATAAATGTTAAAATAATAAAAATTGCATAACAATAACAGTAACTATTTATTCTTAAATATTTTTCTTAAATTTTTTAAAAATATAAGTTAATTTAAAAATACCTATGTTAATTTAATTATCTATTTTATTCAATATAACTACTAATTTCAGATTAGTATTATTAAGTGATAATTTTTAAACCAAATAATCGATAAGAGCTATGGAATTGATAATAATAAATATTATATTTTTATTTTAAAATATCAAATTAATAAATTAGTGATGTCTTATTAAAAGTACTAATTTTCTACTATGGTCAACCCATATTTTAGTTTGTTTTTTTAGCTTTTATTTTCACCTTTATCAAAAGTTAAAAATAAAATTTGTACTATTGTAGAACACCATCTTTGATCATTTCACAATCTGCCTGGATTCTGATGGGATAAAATGGGGGCCTTCTCCTTTTAGATTTTTGGATAAGTGGCTTAAAGTTGTGGGGGATTCAAGAGACAATTAGAGATTGGTGGAATGACATGTGGAGGGCAAGACAAGTTATAGAGTGGCTACAAACCTTTGGGTGGTTAAGGAGGAAATTAAGAATTGGTGTAAAGAAGAGTGGAGAGGAGAGTCTATTATTACTCAATCCTTACTTCAGGAATTAGAAAGCCTTGATAGAATAAAAGGAGAGGGTGGTTTATCTGCCGTTGATCAGACTTATAGATAATCTATTCGCGTTGAACTGGGAAACAAAATCCAGATAAAAGAGATCTCATGGGAAAGTCACGAACCAGATGGATAAAGGAGGGAGATAGAGATACAAAGTTCTTACAGTATATGACTAATCATCATCGAGGGATTAAATATATGGAAGAGTTGGAGATTCGATGGAGGTGGTGAAGGGGAATGAAGATTTGAGGGAGGGGGCAAAAGCTTTCTTCAATAAGCTTTATTCTAAAGATTTTAAATAGATGGATGGCTTGAATTTTCTATCACTGGGTGATCACAATCGTGAAGATCTTGAGCAGAAGTTTACTGAGGAAGAGATTCATGAAAGTTGATGCATTGCAGTAAGGATAAAGCTCATAGGTTGATGGATTCAACATAGATTTCCTTAAGAGGTTTTGACATTTTATAAAGGATGATATTGTTGAACTCTTTAATGATTTCCATAAAACAGGACAGTTCATTAAAGGTTTAAATTCTACTTTTATGGTTCTTATTCTAAAGATTGCAGGAACAATAAGCATTAAGGATTTCAAACCTATCAGTTTTGTGGGAAGTATGTATAAACTTATTGTTAAAGTTTTAGCTAGAAGAATGACTAAGGTGACGAAGAAAGTGGTTGGAGAGTGTCAACATGCGTGGGAGATAGGTAGATGTTAGATGCAACCTTAATTGCGACTGAGATTATGGATGAACTGAAGCATGAGAGTTTAGAGGGGGTCTTTGTAAACTTGACATGGAAAAAACCTATGACCATATGAATTAGTAATTTCTGGATTACATGTTGATGAGGATGAATTTTTGGGACAAATGGTGAAAGTGGATAAGATGTTGTATCTCTATGATCTCCTTTACAGTTATGGTGAATGGGCTATTGTCTTTCTTTAGGGCCATCATAGGTCTTAGGCAAGAAGATCCCTTGTCCTCATTTTTGTTTATCATTGTTATGGAGGCTCTCAAAAGAATGATTTTGAGGGCCGTGAACTTGGAATGTTTGTGGGATTAAAGGTCGGTGATGGGGAGCGTGTGGAGGAGATTACTCATTTATTTTTTGTGGATGACACATTGCTTTTCTATGAGCTGAATGAAAGATTCTTGCTAAATATTAGATGCATTTTGTTAAGCTTCCAAGCAGTATTGTGCCTCAACATTAATCTTGCCAAGTCTGAGTTGGTGAGACTAGGAAGGGGCGGGATGCTAACAATGTAACTAATGTACTTGGATATAAGAGTGTTAATATGCCTACTAAATGTTTGGGACTACCTCTGGGTGCTAAATACAAGGAAGTTTCTACTTGAGATCCGGTGATTGCTCGATTCGAACGACATTTGACCGGTTGGAAGTTGAACTTTCTATCTAAGAGTGAGAGTCACGCTCATTATACCAATGTCGCAATTTACTATGTTTCTCTCATGACAATTCCCGTGAGTGCGGCTAAGAAAGTAGAGTCCATATAGTTTAGATTTTTATGGGGTAATTCTAAGGAGAATCCTTTTCACCTTAGTGGCTAGCTTGAGATCTATAATGGAGGTTCATAGGCTCTTTAGGGGAAATGACTATGGAGATTCGTATGAAGGAAGATAGTATTCTTTGGTGGAGGGTAATTGAGGAGAATCATGGTACTGAGGAAAGAGGTTGGTTCACTAGGTTGACGTCTAAACCTCAGGGTAATGGATTATGGAAAAAAAGATGCATGGGAAGAAGATATTTTAGCAGTTGCATTAGATGGAGGATTGGTTCAGGGAATAGGATCTGGCTATGGTATGACAATTGGATTGGTGGGGGGGGCTCCTCACAAAAATCCTCATATATACACTGTTGCTCGCAATAAAGTTGCCTTGATATAGGATGCCTACATCACACTATGGGGTTTGGGGAGTGGTATCTGGAGGTCATGAGGAACCTCGATGATTGGGAAGTCAGGGAGTATGAGATATTACTCCTTGCCTTTTTTATGGTTAGGATCAATGAGAGTAGAGACAATCCACTTTGGAGTCTTAATACTAAAAGGTCTTTCTCTGTATTTATTTTTAAAAAAAGGGTATTTGCTTGTACGGTCTTTTTACAACACTTGACTAACAGAGAGATTATTGGAAGAGACTTCCGTTACAGCTAAATTTGGAAGGTCAATGCATCACCCCGAATTCCTTTTTTTGCTTAGGAGGTTGACAAAAGTTGCATCTTCACCTAGGACAAGCTGATCAAGAGGCGCAGAACTTTAGTGAATGGTTGTTATATGTGCAGAAGGGATGCAAAGTCATGTCATCAACAACTTTTATTGTGCCCTTTTGCTATAGATTATGGATCTATGGATCCTTGCTTATGGCCTTTTGGGTATTAATTGGGTGATGGTTGGTTCGGTGAGGGAGGAAATTTCAGCACGGAAAACATCAGAGGCTAGAGGAGACATGTGAGCCTTATTTCCC